CATGGCTGGCTGGGGAATTCTGGGAGTTGAAGTCCACACATCTTAAAGTCGCCAAGGTTGACAAACACTGCACTAGGCTGTTTCTAGTGTTCACTGGTTAAATCCCACACTTCTTGTGGGAAAACCAGGTTTCATGAACTGAAGTGCTCATATTTATGCAGACACCACAAATGAGGTACAAGGAGATTTCTGAGAACTTTCTTTTCCTCCCTCTTTAGGGTAAGCTTCTAGCTTTTGGTAGGGGGCTGGGAGAGGAAGACGACTTGACTCGATCCCATTTCATGATCTTTCTGAGCAACCTTAATGTTTATTGGACTGGGCTTCTGATCCTTAAAGCTGTCGCTGGTTGGGGTAAAGTAGCAACTATAAAAGGCAGTCGAAGCTATGCAACCTCCCGGACTTCATCCTTGCCATCCAATCCCTGTCTTTGCTTACTGCATTAAACCATAGTTTGTTCTGTCTTGTGTGAACTCAGGCACCGGGACTCACAAATCGTTGCTGAATGAACTGTGGCCTATTTAACAAACCTCAGCGGAACATCCATCAGGTCAATACTGGGTTGGCCAGGCTGGCATCTGAATTTAAAACTAGGGGGTCCTTAAATGCCCCTTTTTGTTTAGGACCCGAACTTGGCAGGTGGGGGCGTGCCTAAGTTTCCCTTCTCAAACACTCTGCCTTGTGACGCTCTTGGATTTGAGAAAAGCCAGCTAGGTTGACCACCACCTCCAACAAGCGGCCCTCAACAGCTGTCCGAGCTTCCTGTTTGCGTCTCAAGAGCTGCTGGTTCGGCCAGTCCCATCCCAACGGACGCCAGGCCTGCAGAAAAAGCCCATCAAGGTGACCTGGTGCGGGCAGTTCTCCTTCATCAGCCCAGAAGGTCTTCCATAAAGTACCCTGCGGGCCCTCAAGGCAGACCAGCAGCTGCGGGACAGGGGTAGACGGTGGCCTGTGGACGTGAGCTACGTCCCTCCAGCCCAGCTCGGGCCAGCGCGGGGCTCCGCTGCTTCCTCCTGACTCTTCCTCTTTCTGCTACCAAATCATCCAGGGAGGCTGCAGGAGTTCATAAGAGGGAATGCTGGTGACGTTGACCGGGATGGAAATCACAGCCCAGGGGAGCCCGTGCTGCTCCAGAGACCGACGGATCATGTGTCTGTGAAAAGAAATGGCCACGTGGGACTTTTTTTAGAGGAAGACCTGCCGTAGTTCTAAGCAGGAAGAGACGCCTGCAATTTCCTCACTGCGGGAAGCGATTGCAGAATAATTGAATCCCGAAAGGGGCCATTTCCCAAAACGGAACATCCTAATTTTGCCACATACTTCATTTTAATGCTTTTGGTTGAAAAAAGGGAGGCTTTTCAACAGGAGCGGCGAACAAGCCTCTATCAATGCACGCAAGCTAAATTCTGTGAGGCTGTGACTACTTACTGTTAGTTAACTCAGACTGTGAGCTTAACATCCTGTAACGTAATACAGACCTAATCGATTTATATTCCAGCTAAGGGGGAGACCGAACGTTGCGTCCACCGTATGGCAACTTCTCCTAACCTGTCAGCCCTCTGATGTGGCTGACGTCAGCTCCCATCATCCCCAGCCAGCATGGGCATATAAGAGCAACATCTTGAGAAAATGAACGCTAACGTTTAAGACAGACCTCCAATGTGGTAATCAGAAGGAGACCCTGGTGCATTCATGGGGGGGGGGGGGAATCCCTTGTTTCTGTCCCCTTCATTGAAAACCCTTCCACCCAAAGGGACTAGCAAACTGAGAATGGCCACTGCCAATGGGGTTTATGGCCAAGGATCTAAGGAAAACAGAGGAAAATGCTCAGCTGCAGCCCTCACCCGTCTCTCCCCAGGAGGAAAAGAGCAGGGATGTCCGCTGTCCGTTGGGTGTCGTCCTGAATCATCTCCACGAAGGCACTGTCGTTGTCGTAACTATTGTCTGCAATGATTACCGCCTGGCCCCCGTGTTCCTGGACCGTGCGGGTCTTGGATAAAAAGGAGCAGCCCCTGCAAAAAAGCCAGAAAAGGTCCATATTTCTGGATTAGATTTCTACCCACTTTTTGCAAACCAACAATGCTAGGAAATGTCCAAGGTACTGTAACTAAGTACGATAATTGCAATAACAAAGGCAACAGATGCAGTCCATATCTACAGTAACTAATTCAGTAAGTACAGACAAAAAGAAAATAACCCTAACCATATACACCGGTGTTTCTCAAACTTGGCAACTTTAAGGTGTGTGGACTTCAACTCCCAGAATTCCCCAGCCAGCCATCCTGGCTGGGGAATTCTGGGAGTTGAAGTCTCACAAACCAATGCTTCTCACTGTGGACCTTGCAGGAGAAAAGCTGGGGTAGTCCGTGGCAGGCAAAAATCAGGAGGAGGCTGGTAGCACCTCTGCAGACTTAATTTTTTTAAAAGGCAGAAGTTTTCGTGGGCTGCAGCTCATTTGGTTATGAAACTTCACTCCCTGCCTAGGATAAGCCAGCGGTGCAACAGAAGGAAACATGACAAAGGAAAAAGAGTGGTGAGATAGCCGGTATTCCTAACAGGTACGTTTCATGACTTTCATTTAATTACAATGAAATATTCATGAAATCCATCCAAGAGGGTCTATGACCCACTAAAAAAAAACGGTGCTCCAGTCACACCATTACGGTCACTGTCTTGACTTTTTCTTGACCACGCGCGGTGAACCCCCCTGAACCCAGCGCAGTTTCGTCTGGACCTGCCCACTTCCTAAGAGCATCCTTGAAAGGCCAGGGAGAAGGTTCCTCCTGGCGTAAGAACCGTCCTGGATCCTCCAGCTGACTTGATAGCAGAGCAGAGATTCGAACGCTGAATCTGCGCTCTCCTCCGCTTTGGAAAACCAACCCATCGATTTCCAGTGATGTGCAAAAGAAGGGCATGGGAGGAAACTCACCCGCGCTCCACCAAAGCAATCTGGCCTTCGATGAAGGCCCCGTTGTTCAACACACCGCAGGCATCCGGCGGATCAGACGGTACAAGGTAGATCTGTTCGTATCTCATGTTCTGGGCAGGGGGAAGAGACATAGAAAAGAGGGAATGTAAAACCATCAGCTGCAGGGCGTGAGCCATCGTCCTGTGCCCAGGGGCAAACAAGGTTCGCCCTCGTGGTCTTCCCCAATCCGATGCACAGCACCTTCTGGCTTCCATTGATGGGACTTGTGGCATTACTAAGTTTTGGGGGATAAACAGCTCCATATGGGGTTAGATTTATTAGTTAGACCAGTGTTTCTCAACCTTGGCAAGTTTCTCAACCTTGAATTCTGGGAGTTGAAGTCCACACATCTTAAACTTGCCAAGTTTGAGAAACACTGGGTTAGATTCATATCCTGCCTTTCTCAAGGCAGCATACATACCTTTCTCCGATTCCCCCCTCCCCAAACAACAACCCTGTTAGGAAGGTTGGGCCAAGAGAGAGTGACAGGAACAGTCCAATGTGCTGTATTCCTTACCCCCAGAATTTTCACCCCAAAGATGTGCAGGAGGAGATAAAGGTTGGTCTGCTACAAAGGGTCCTCCAGATGTTGCTGAACCACAACCTGGTCATCTCAGGCACCAGGGCCAACGATGAGAGAACTTGGGATCTGTAGTTGAGGAACATCTGAACCCCTTCAGAAACACTCTTCCTCCAAACTAGATTGTATCCCTTGCAACAGCGTTCCAATTATCTTCTTTTAAGCCTTCCTTCCCTTCCTTCTAAAGACTGCCTTGAGAAGGAAAGGAAAGTTTCAGCATCGTGGGCATAAAAAGATTGGTTTAAAAAAGACTTTAAGCCTACTTACGAACACTCCCCCAAAATCCTTGGCTGGGGTGGCAGTGAAGATGTAGCGGATATCTCCAGGACTCAGAACATGGAAATAAAGGTATTCCTGGATGCGTAAACCTAGCAGCCGGCAGAGGGAAAAAAGCATCAATAAAAAGAATAGTGTGGTGGTTTTGACATTTGAAGAAACTGGGTTTCAAGCAGAGAAGCCATGCCCGAGCAGCAAACAGTTGAACAAATGTATAGGAAAACACCTGGTGTACACAAGGCCCAGGAATCGTGAGGTTCTTGACAAGATTAGAATCCTTGATTAATAGAGAAATAGTTGAAAGGAAAAATCTGCAGAGTCCTTGTGTGCAGAATGGACAATTACTGCAAATTTCATGCACCCTGTCTATTCCCGTAGTTCAAATAATTTTAAATAATCCTACTTCTACTGCCCCAATGTCAGCTTCCTGCAGCTTCTTTATTGAGTCATCCAGACCCTGGAGTAGAAGCAAGCTACAATTCTTTGCTTTCCACTACTTCATTTCATGCTATTCTACTTCTCTGCAACGTGTACATACCTGTTTGGTCTAATTCTGTTGTGTGAAACCCTATTTCTAATAGCTCGGTGTCTTAGTTGAAAACAGCCAGTCCCTTCACTGCTCTGAAATACAGCAAAGTTACTTGCTTCTCAAAGAGACTGCCCGTTGCCCCTCTGCCTTACTCATGAACGTGGACTGATTCTCCCAGAAGGACTGCAAAACGGAGTGGAAGATCAAGTGCCTGTGGCTTTTAGATGGAGAACATCCATGGTGGGACAAACCAGTTTAACAAATACAAAACTTCTGAAATCCTGAAACTTGTTCCTATGCTGCAGCCAGCGACGCACATCTCTAGCCATGCTCCTGTGTTTATTCTGGATGCTACCTCCTCCAGGACTCAGGGACCCGTTGACCCAGAGGTGTGCAACAAATTCTGGAAATCTTTTGGGGGACCCAGGAGGGTCTGGATGGCACAACTCTGAAAGACGGGGAGTTCTCACAGCACCTGTGTCTTTTTGCTTGCAGTCAAAATAGTTGGTCTGTCATTGTAAGCAGTTAATTTGGTCCCTGCTGAATGCCTGGGAGCCTTGAGAATCTCAGAGCAACCAGGAATGCTACAAAGAATGGTGGGAAATACAATCCTGGGTCCCTGGCTCTCATTCACACAACATCCTTAATCAGGAATACCTGCAGGGAGGTGTCAAAAACGTCAAGATGGCACCTGTGTCGGCGCAATCAAGGGCCCACCCGCTTTTGACAGGCATCACACACATCTTCCTTCACTAACTCAGTAACTACTTGCTAAGCTTGGCTAGTTTTAACTTGGGTTAAGGTTTGGGTTTCTGCAGGTTGATGATTGAATGCATTGTGTGAAAACAGGCTGCGCGTGTTCAGTATCTCAAGGAGAATGTGTGCATTTTTACACACACACACACACACACACACAGAGTAACAGAACTAGTAAAAACAAGCAAACTTGGTTACTTGACCTGTCAAAAACCAGCTGGCTAGAGATGGTCAAACATCTCCTGAAGGTTGCAAAGCTGGCTGAAGCCTCAGGTGGCCACCAAAGCAACTGATAGCCCAAGCTTCCTTTAACGCAGTGATGAGGAATGGGTGGCTCTCTACAATGATTGGACAACAGTTCCCATCATTCCTGCCTAGTGGCCATGTTGGACCAGCCACGCTGGATCAGATGCTGCAGCCCGACATAACATGGGACACCACCTCCCTGCTTTAAGGCCACCTTCTCAGGCTATTTCAGACTAAACCATTTTGTCTTTTAAATCAGGAACACTTATCACTATTAAAAATAATATTTCTGTAATCGTTTTAATTTCCTCTTACAGTTAATGCTTTGCTTATTTATTTTATTGGAACACACCAGCCTGCGGCATGATGATCTGTTTTATCCTCCTCTGTAGAGAGGTTTATTGAGAGTCTAATTTCCAAGACTGAGTTTTTGGTTCTAGAGAGTTTGAAGATTCACTTCCACAAAGATAAGTTGAAGGAGAAGATAGGAGGGCTTTCAGAATTCATCTTTGCAGACTTTAATCCAAAATCTTCTAGTGATGATTCCCTTCCTCCAAACCAAGACACAGAACTGTTCTTTCTATTATTCAGAGTTTGGGGGTCCCACAAAAGGTAGCTGAAGATGCTGTGGATTTCTACATATAGGAACACGAGCTGTGGACGATTAGGCCAAATCTTGCTTTCCACAAAAGCTCAGAAGCCCGGCTTGGACAACCCCCTAAACCTGCCACTTCCCAGAACGGATTTTCTGAGAATATACTGTGTGTGAACACGAAGTCTTCATTCCGCCATCACAGCTAATATCCGTTTTTAAAGCTCTTTTCTGTTAAGGTTTCCATCTAAGCTACAGCAGGGGAATAAAGGCACCGTTCTACCTTGCAGTATTTCTACATGATGTTAGCAAGGAAATATATCTGATTATAAAGATAATAACCCATCACTCCTGGCTGCGACAAGGGAGGGCAGAGGAAGGAAGGGGGGAAACAGGCGTGGGGCTGCTTTCCAAGGCTGTGGTCACATTGCAAATGGCAGGTGTTAAGAGCCGAGAGTTATGAATAGACACCAAGGCTACGCACGAAGGCTCCGTAAACCCCCAAGGAGGGTGACAGGAACTAGTCTTGCAAATGAGAAATACGCCATGCAGAGCGCCCCTTGCACTCCGTGCGAATCGCTCAAATCCATCTGGGTGGGGGTATGCCTGTGCACACACATCAACTTATATATTTATCTATACATATAACACACAGGGACACGAACTATATGCAGACATAGTATACATACGTATGCATAGATGTGCGCACATATACACCTGGTATTCAAATACATGCCTATATACGCACACATATATATGTCGTCCATTTATAAATATATATATTTGCATATACACCTACAAAGGCTGTGTGTATATCTAAACGGATATACACACACTCAAGTATACATGGCAGCCAGTTTGGGGTCGTGGTGAAAGCACCAAGCTAGAAACCGGGAGACCTGAGTTCTAGTCCCGCCATGGCCACGAAGCCAGCTGGGGGACCCTGGGCCACCCCCTCTCTCTCAGCCCTAGGAAGCAGGCAAGGGCAAACCAGTTCCGAAAAACCTTACCAAGAAAACTGCAGGGACCGGTCCAGGCAGTCACCGGGAGTCAACATTGACCTGAAGGCGCGCGCACACACACACACACACACACACACGCGCGTGTATATGTGCATTTGTTTGCACCTTAGAGTCAGTTTTTGACGTCTGGTGTATGCATGCACACATCTGTACACAGATGTCCCCACATATACCTCCATGCATGCCCGCACGCACCATGATTACGAAACGGATACACGCACCGGCACGCCGTCTGCACGCACGCACCCCAAACGCCCACTCCCACTGCAGGTTCGCCCACCCCCCGACCGTGGCATGTGCCAACCAGCGAGGCACGTTGCCCCCCCGCCAGCTCAGCTCTCCTTGCAGGAAGCGCCTCTGGCCGGCCAGCCAGCCGCCA